ACAATAAAAAGATAAATTATTAATTTCACCCATGCAATTAATCGTAATAAAAATGAATGCAGAAATAAAGTGCGGAAATAATAAAGGAAAGAACATACTGATTTATAGTGGTTCGGTCAAACCATGACCTACATCCACTCCATGGAGGCACCCTCCAAGTATTACACTAAATCTTTAAAAATTTTCCTTTAGCCCCCACAGCTAGGCGAACAAGCGCATACAAAATCACTTTCACCTTCCTCGATGCGGCGGAGGAGTCGGGTCCTTTGACACCAAAGAGATATTCTTCTTCTCAAAACTTCCCTCAAGGCGAAACTTGAATCCGATGGTAATGAGGTGCAAGCTCGCTGGAGTAACCGTGTGAAATCTCCTTCACACTCCCTTGAAACCCCCTCCAAGGATCTTCTCTCTCTCTCTCTCAAACTCCACATTTTTCTCTCTCCCTTTTAAGTCATCTATTCAAATTTTCTCTAGAAAAATGAAAGTTCAATGGATTCAGAAGACTACTCTTACAAAATCTTATGAGAGTGCTTAAATAAAGGGCTAAAAACCGTTAAAAAAAACTTAATTAAGCCATCAAATATCATATCGTACGATCACAAGATCGTCTAGTATGATGTGCAAAAATTGATTTGTTAGTATTGTACGATGTCCAGTTAGTACTATACGAACAGTTCAATTGCTTGTTCGTAATCTACGATGTCCGGTAAGATGTGTTATATGAAAAGTTAAATAAAAAAGTAGTTCATCCAGGACGAAGCATGGGACGGTCAAAAGTCGTCTCTATTGATCGTACATTACGATCCAGTTCGTACAGTACGATCAAAATATCAAAATTAAGCCATTTTGATTGAATAATCGTGTAACACCCCACAATAGAACTACACTTTACTGCAGAGTGCAACAATAATAATCATAACATTTTCATCATCTATCTCTGAACTCTTTTGAATTCATTTCAGATCTAAATAAAAGATCATATAATATCATTCGGAATAATAAAGGAAGCATCTAATAATTTCCCAAATTTCATCACATCAAAGACTTTGTACAGAGCCACTAAGGAAATCCAAAACAATTCAAAGTAAATCAACATTAAAACTTCTTTACTAACCTTAAGAGTACATTTCAACTTTTAAATAAACATTAAAAAAAACTTAAATACTTGCATATCAAACTTCTTCCACTTTTCCTTTCCCTTTTCCTGTAAAAATAGCCAGTAAAAGATAACTGGTAAGCTATGAGGCCCCGTAAGTTATGCAATTGAAAATAGTATTAAACTTGCATGTTAAAATTTTTAAAATAATAAACATGAATGAAATTTAAACTACTAGAGATACTACAAATATTTCATTTGGCATTACCTTTAACTGTTATCTTATATCCATACTGAATATCAGTTTTTGTCATCAAAAGATTTGGTTATTCTTTCATAAACAAATTCAATGGAGCCCAGTAAAACCTAACATTATCGTCATTGAATTCCATAGAGGTCCATTTTGCCTCTTTAGGGGTCCCTTTTGCCCCACCTGCTATGCAGGTATCATTTCTTTTGGGGTCCCTTTTGCCCCACTTACAAGGTAGTT